CCATTCACCTTCAATCTAGTTTAGATAGGGAACTCATTTTCATCACACAAAAATAAGCTAGGTTCATACTACGCCTCATTGATGGACGTTTAGTTCTGTTTCAGTCCCCCCTGATGGATATTGTAGGTTATTCCAGTCTCCTATGGTGGGCACTAGGTTTGTTCCCAGTCCCCCTATTGATGGACACTTAGATTGTTTTTTCAGTTCCCCATTGATCCACACTTAGGTTCTTTTTTTTTTTTTTTTTTTTTTTTTGAGACAGGAAGTCTCGCTCTGTCGCCCCAGGCTGGAGTGCAGTGGCCAGATCTCAGCTCACTGCAAAGCTCTGCCTCCTGGGTTCACGCCCATTCTCCTGCCTCAGCCTCCCGAGTAGCTGGGACTACAGGCGCCCGCCCACTCGCCTGGAAGTTTTTTGTATTTTTTAGTAGAGACGGGGTTTCCACGTGTTATCCAGGATGGTCTCAATCTCCTGACCTCATGATCCGCCCGTCTTGGCCCTCCCAAAGTGCTGGGATTACAGGCTAGAGGCCACCGCGCCCGGCCAACACTTAGGTTCTTTCAAGTTCCCCTTTTGATGGACACTTAGGTTGTTTCCAGTCCCCTACTGATACACATTTACATTGTTATATATACAGTCTTTATTGAGGAAATTAATTCATATTTACCACACCATTCCACATTTAAAGGTGTTACACAGCCATCACCTCAATCTAAGTTTAAAACATTTTCATCACACAAAAGTAAACCCTATGCCTATTAGCAGTCACTCCCTTTACCCCCTCCCTTCTGCCCCTGGCAACCATAAATCGACTTTCTGTCTCTATTGATTTGCTATTTCTGGACATTTCCTTTAAATGGAGTCATGCAATATTGTTCCTGTGTGTCTGGCTTCTCTTAGAAGAATTATTTTAGGTTTCAACCACGTTGTCACATGTTACAGGGCTTTATTCCTTAATAAGGCTGAAGAATATTCCATGGTACAGACATCCCATATTTTGCTCTGCATTCATCAATTGATGTTTCCAGTTTCTTGCTAAATAGCATCTCATACCGCTATCCTGCTTACGCTTAAGGCCGTTTCTTTCCAGCAAGGTTGCTGGGTCACAGGAAATGTGCATTTTTAGTTTAGAAAAACACACACTCGCTCTCTGCTCTTGTCTTTCCTCCCACATCCTGATCTCTTTCTGGTGTGAGTGGATGTATTTTGGCCACAGCAAGATTTTTCTGAGTGTGTACTGATTTGTGGCCACAACATCCTCAACCAGATTGCAGGGCTAGTGGGTCCCTTCGCTGAGGGTCACTGGAAGTCCCAGGGGGCTGGGCTGCCCCTAATGGCAGATGCCCTCTGCAGACATTGATGAGTGTGGGGAGATCCCCGCCATCTGTGCCAGTGGTGTCTGCATCAACCAGATGGGGAGCTTCCGCTGCGAGTGCCCCACAGGCTTCAACTACAACAGCATCCTGCTGGCTTGTGAAGGTGCCACCTCTCCCTGTTCCCAGCCCTGGGGTCTGGGTGGGATGCATGTCTGCCACTGTGCAATCTGGGCAAGTAACTAAAACTCTGTAAGCTTCCATTTCTGCATCTGTATAATGGGCTAACACCTTTCCAAGGGCCTCCATCTCATATAACCACCCTCACTCCAGCTCTGGCTGCTTCCAGAGAGACCACCTGTTCCGAAGCATTGGACTGGGTTTCAGGTTTGATTCTGTCAGGATGGGCTTCTCTGTCACCCCCACCTCATTTGCTGTATTTGCCCAGATGTCGATGAGTGTGGCAGCAGGGAGAGTCCCTGCCAGCAGAATGCCGACTGCATCAACGTCCCCGGCAGCTACCGCTGCGAGTGCACTCGAGGGTACAAACTGTCGCCAGGCGGGGCTTGTGTGGGTGAGCAGGGTCTCTGGGAGGAGGTGAGGGAGCTGGGCTCTGTTGCCCATGGGGACTTAGATGGGATATGGCTCTGTCCAGGTCTTTCTCCTTATCTATACTATTAGAGGGATCGGGGATGTATTGAGAGTGTCTGTTAATAGGATGTGATGGAAGTGAGAGCTCAGGTCAATGCTGAGAGCCTGACACCCCTGGTGGAAGTTTGAGTGGGGAACTTCAAGGCAGGCTCTGGCTTCTCCATTGCAGTAGGGAGAGCTCAGGCAAACACTGTATGGTAGGGGCCCTGGGGACACCATGCTGTCTGCACCCCTAGGACGGAATGAGTGTCGGGAGATCCCGAATGTCTGTAGCCATGGCGACTGCATGGACACAGAAGGCAGCTACATGTGTCTGTGTCACCGTGGATTCCAGGCCTCTGCAGACCACACCCTGTGCATGGGTGAGACCCTCATCTTTCCCCTCCTTTCAAGTCAGGCTGCCAGGGGTCTACATCTCCCCTGGGATGGAAGTGGTGTTTCTGTCCATCCTAGTTCACAGACAGATCCAAGTTTGGGTCCTGACATTAAGATCTTGGGTAAATGGCTGATGTGCCTCCCTGTGCCTCAATTTTCCCATTTGTAAAATGGGGGTGATAGATCACACCAGGAGTACTTCCCAGCCATCACCCCCAGGGGTCACTGTCCAGTCATCTAGGCAGGGCTGGGTGCAGGGGAGGACCACTAGGTCCAGCTGGCCTCTCACTCCCTAAGTCCCCCAATGCCCTGGGTGAGCTGGGCTGAGCTCTCGAGCTTTGCTTCTGCAGACATTGATGAGTGTGACCAGCAGCCTTGTGGAAATGGGACCTGCAAGAACATCATCGGCTCCTACAACTGCCTCTGCTTCTCTGGCTTTGTGGTGACACACAATGGGGATTGTGTGGGTGAGTCCGCTCAGTTGGCAGGCTGGCCACAAAGTAGGTTCTCAGAATCTAAGGAAGTAAATCTAGAAATTGACCACAGGAAGATGCCCAGAAAGTCCTCAAATATTTAGAAATTAAATAACATACTCCTAAATAATCCACAAGTCAAATAAATCATAAGGAAAATTAGAAAATATTTTGAAGTAAAAGAAAATGAAAATGAAAGCATAACATATGAAAATACATAGGATGCAGCTAAGGGAGCACTTAGAGGCAAATTCATAGCATTACATCGTTATATTAGAAAATATCAGCAACTACCTCATAAGGTAGGTGGAAAGTTAATATACACAGTCTATACATGAGTGCTCAAGTTGAAGCCAGTGCTATCAACTCAACTCAGTTGCAGACAGAAGTACAAGGAAGCCTTGATCCCTTCAAGTTTTGTGGGTGACCCGGCCTGCCTATCTCCCCTCTACAGATTTTGATGAGTGTACTACCCTGGTGGGGCAGGTGTGCCGATTTGGCCATTGCCTCAACACAGCTGGTTCCTTCCACTGCCTCTGCCAGGATGGCTTTGAGCTCACAACTGATGGGAAGAATTGTGTGGGTGAGTCTGCCTGTGGTGCTTGGAGGCATCTCAACCAGCCCCTGCTCCATGTACACCACAGTTTGGTACTTCTGGGTGAGCATAGATCCATTTACTACCCAAGCATTTATTTTAAGGTTTAAAAAAATAATACCCAGCACATTGGGAGGCTGAGGTGGAAGGATTGCTTGAGGCCAGGAGTTTGAGACTAGCCTGGGCAACATAGTGAGCCCTCGTCTCTACAAAGAAATTAAAATTAGCCAGGAGTGGTGGCTATTGCCTGTAGTCCTAGCTACTCAGGAGGCTGGGGCAGGAGAATCACTTGAGCCCAGGAATTTGAGGCTGCAGTGAGCTATGATCACACCACTGCACTCCAGCCTGGGCAACAGCGAAAGATCCTATCTCAAAATAAATAAATTAATTAAAAATTATAAAACCAGTACATCAAACCTATGTTTTTATGTATGGGATTTGAGGTGTAGGGTGAGGCTGTCTTGAAAATGTAAGTTTCCAGAAGCAAAGAATAGTAGAAGTGCTAAATGGATACCATGGAAGGAATCTGCTGGTGGTGCCAGATTAGGAATCTTGCTACCTCTTCCCACTGGTCACCATCTGGCCCCACCTATAACCCCACGAGAGTCAGATAATCCTTCCCCAGCTGTCCCTGTGGTCCTGAGTCTCAGCCCTTGCCCTGGAGCCAGAATTGCCACTGTGAGGGCTTGTCCTGGGGCCCTCGGTGATCACACAGTAAATGTAGGTGTGGGTCCCAGTCCCAAGTGAGCCCCCTGCATCCTGGCTGGCACAAGGACCCTTCTTTCTTCTTTTCACAGACACCAATGAGTGCCTCAGCCTCGCGGGAACCTGCCTACCAGGCACCTGTCAGAACCTCGAGGGCTCCTTCCGTTGCATCTGTCCCCCTGGCTTCCAGGTGCAGAGTGACCACTGCATTGGTGAGTGTCCAGCCCCAACTCCCATTTTTGGGACCAGGGAATGCCTCTCTTTCTCCATCCATAAAATGGGAATACCAGCTAGGGTTGTGATGAAGGTGGAGATGTACTTAACGCAGAGTCAAACACAGCTTCATAAACTATTATTGTCATTCTGATTATTTCTGGACTTTGCGCTCAGGATTTTGTCTCTGGTACCCACAGGCTTCCTCGTGAATCCTATAAATTGACATGGGTGTGGGGGTCTCACCGTTTCTCAGTGCACCCAAATGTAGAGCTCCTCACTTGCTAACTGGTGATCAAGGACCAGTCTGGCCCAAGCTTCACTGTCGTAATCACCTATAGAGATGATTTCATGCAGTCTGGACTAACCAGTCTGGCCTGATCTCCTTTGGTCCATTTATCCACTTGGGCTAGCCCCAGAGAGTGTGGGCTAACCTGGACCAACCTGGGATGAGCAGATGAGCTACCTTGTTCACTGTAATCTAACCTGGACCAGTCTGGCCTGAGCAGATAGGATAGCCTGGGCTAACCTGAACCAGTCTGGCCTGAACTTCTCTGATCTGGGCTTCCATCTGGTCTAGCCTTGTATAATCTGACCCAGTCTGGCCTGGTCTCTTCTAATCTATTCTTTTTTTTTTTTTTTTTTTTTTTGAGACAGAGTCTCACTCTCAGCTCACCGCTGTAACCTCCACCTCCCGGGTGCAAGCGATTCTCCTGCCTCAGCCTCCCGAGTAGCTGGGATTACAGGCGCTCATCACCACACCTGGCTAATTTTTGTATTTTTAGTAGAAACGGGGTTTCATCATGATGGCCAGGCTGGTCTCAAACTCCTGACCTCAAGCGATCCTCCCACCTTAGCCTCCCAAAGTGCTGGGAATACAGGCATGAGTCACCACGCCCAGCCTATTCTGATCTATTCTATTTGGGCTAGCTTAATACAACATGAGCTAACCCCGATTCAGTGCTAGGTTAAATACATCAGGTTTCTCAGTTAGCTTTGTGCAATTTTAATTTTTTTAGGTTTAAAATTTCTATTTTTTCTTTTTTTTTTTTTTTTTTTTTTTTTTTTGAGACGGAGTCTCGCTCTGTCGCCCAGGCTGGAGTGCCAGGTGGCCGGATCTCAGCTCACTGCAAGCTCCGCCTCCGGGTTCACGCCATCTCCGGCCTCAGCCTCCGAGTAGCTGGGACTACAAGTGCCCCGCCACCTCGCCTGGCTAATGTTCATATTTTTAGTTAGAGAACCGGGTTTTCACCGTGCAGCCAGGACGGGTCTCGATCTCCTGACCTCGTGATCCGCCGCGTCTTGCCCCCTCCCAAAGTGCTGGGATTACAGGCTTGAGCCACCACGCCCGGCCTATTTTTTCTTATTTTAATCTCAACAGTTATGGGGGAACAGGTGGCTTTTGCTTACATAGATAAGTTCTTCAGTGGTGATTTCTGAGATTTTGGTGCACCTGTCATCTGAGTAGTATACAATGTACCCAGTATGTAGTGTTTTATCCCTCACCCCCCTCCCATCTTTCCCTGGAAGTCCCCAAAGTCCTTTATGTCATTATTATGCCTTTGCATCCTCATAGATTAGCTCCCACTTGTAAGTGAGAACATACGATATTTGATTTTCCATTCCTGAGTTACTTCACTTAGAATAATGGCCTCTAGCCCCATCCAAGTTGGTGCAAAGGACATTATTTTGTCTTTTTTTTTTTTTTTTTTTTTGATGGAGTCTCGCTCTGTCACCCAGGCTGGAGTGCAGTGGCATGATCTCTGCTCACTGCAATATCCACCTCCCGGGTTCAAGCGATTCTTCTGCCTCACCCTTCTGGTAGCTGGGATTACAGGTACGCACCACCACAACGCCCGGCTAAATTTGGCATTTTCAGTAGAAAAGGAGGTTTCGCCATGTTGGCCAGGCTGGTCTCCAGCTCCTGAACTCAAGTGATCCACCGACCTTGGCCTCCGAAAGTGCTGGGATTACAGGTGTGAGCCACTGCGCCTATTTTGTTCCATTTTGTGGCTGAGTAGTATTCCACGGTGTATGACATACCACATTTTCTTTATCTACTCATTGGTTGATGGGCATTTATAAACATGATGGTTCCATATTTCTGCGATTGTGAATTGTGTTGCTATAAACATGCGTGTGAATGTGTCCTTTTCATATAATGACTTACTTTCCTTTGGGTAGATACCCAGTAGTAGGATTGCTGGATTGAATGGTAGTTCTACTTTTAGTTCTTTAAGGAATCTCCACGCTGTTTTCCATAGAGGCTGTACTATGTGCAGTTTCAGTCTCTAATCATGAACTCTTCCTGACCATGACCTTTACTCTGGAGACACCTTCCGGGAAGGACCTACGTGCACACACAATGCTCACCTCGTGCTACAGCTCATACTGAACTCTCAGGACCCCAGCCCCGCTGCAGCCCCTGGCTGGACCTGCACTCCATCTGCCCCTCCTCACAGCGGAGTCCTCTCCCCACTGGTGGAGGTCCTGCTTGCCCCCCACCCAGCTCATGTCCCCGCCCTTCCAGACATCGACGAGTGCTCAGATGAGCCCAACCTCTGCCTCTTTGGCACCTGTAGCAACAGCCCTGGGAGCTTCCAGTGCCTCTGCCCACCTGGCTTTGTCCTCTCTGACAATGAGCACCGTTGCTTTGGTGAGTCTGCACAGGGCTCAGGGAAGACGGTGGGAAGTGGGGCGGGGAAGGGTCAGATTGCCCAGAAAAGAGGGCTGTGGTTTCTTGTATGACCCTACGGGAGCTTTGACCAGGCAGAGGTGTCTCTGCATTAGCAGGGTTATCCTAGTGCCAGCAACCTCTTGGCTATAGAGGTCATGTCTACGGAGGGCTAACCTGGTCCATTTTGAGCTAGCCTGTGTGTGCTTTATTTAGGTTTTCCTTGTATTGGTCACATGACTGTAGGCTGTCAATGGGCTGGTTTTGTCCAGTTTGAGCTAGCCTCGACTACTCTGGGCTGGCTCCATTTCAGCTGGGCTAGCCTCATCTACTGTGGGCTAACCTCACCCAGCTTGAGTCAGCCTGTTCTCTCACAGGTCAGGGGCAATAAGGGTGAGAGCAGAGCCTGCAGTGCACCTCAACGAATAATTGCTGTTCTGGGAGGCTGGGACCCCAGCCTGCTGGTGAGGACTTGATAGGCATCCAGAGCCGAGGATTTGGGGTTTGGAGTCTGAATTCCAGGATCCTCGGGCTTTCTGGAATAAATCATTTTGCCTCTCCAGGAAGGGGTTTTTGATCCAAGAGTAACCACCGAGTTTGATCTTTCTTCCTGGCATGAGAACACCCCAAAGCAATGAAGTGGGGTGCGATTCCAGCTGTCCCCTCAAAACCCCAGGGCAGGTTGGGGTTGGTGGCTCTTGCCTGTAATACCAGCACTTTGGGAGGCTGAGGTAGGCTGATCACCTGAGGTCAGGAGTTTGAGACCAGCCTGGCCAATGTGGTGAAACACTGTCTCTACTAAAAATACAAAAATTAGCTGGGTGTGGTGGCACATGCCTGTAATCCCAGCTACTTGGGAGGCTGAGGCAGGAGAATCAATTGAACCTGGGAGGTAGAGGTTGCAGTGAGCCAAGATCATACAACTGCACTCCAGCCTGGGCAACAGAGCAAGACTCCATCTGAAAAAAACAAAAAAACCACCACCAACACCAACAATGAAAAACCCAGGGCAGATCCTCATTGGCCCAGAGTAGGTCACATGTCCATCCTCAAACCAATCACCATGACCAGGGGCGTGGCATGTTCTGATTGGCCACTGGCAGGATCAGCACAACCTATTCACCAGGACTGGGGTGCGAGAGGTCAGAGAGGCAGGTGGGCACTGCCAGTGGCCCTCAATCAGGGTAATGGAGCCCCCATCCCACAGACACACGGAAGAGTTTCTGCTTCACCCGTTTTGAGGCTGGGAAGTGCTCGGTGCCCAAAGCTTTCAACACCACCAAGACCCGCTGCTGCTGCAGTAAGAGGCCTGGGGAGGGTTGGGGAGACCCCTGTGAGCTGTGTCCCCAGGAAGGCAGCGGTGAGTGCCTACCCCTGTCCAGCCTCCCCTGTCATGATGCGCCCTCACCTTCCTCTCTCATTCTTCCCTCATCCTTCCCTGCACACACCTGGGGGCTGCACCTGGGCCCTGACTCTGACTCCCCTCCCCCTCTCTGTCCAGCTGCCTTTCAGGAGCTCTGCCCCTTTGGCCACGGGGCAGTCCCAGGCCCGGATGACTCCCGAGAAGGTGAGCCCCTCACCCACGTGCTCAGAGCCCCTTCTGGGCCACCCAGATCCATCTCCGCACTGCCTAGGTCTCTGAGTCTCAGGCTCCCGCTGAGAGCCCGAGTGGCCCTGGACCCTCCCAGCCTGGGGCTTGGGCTGTCATCCCCTTGGGGCCTTGAGTGTGGCCAGGGCTCTGGGGATTGCATGGTGACAGGAGCCATGTCTGCAACACCTGCCATCCGCAGACGTGAACGAGTGTGCAGAGAACCCTGGCGTCTGCACTAACGGCATCTGTGTCAACACCGATGGATCCTTCCGCTGTGAGTGTCCCCTTGGCTACAGCCTGGACTTCACCGGCATCAACTGTGTGGGTGAGTGGCCAGCCCTGCTCCAGCCCTGTCCCAGGCCCCTCCCAGGACAGGAAGGAACAGAGCAGGGCAGGGAAGACACTCCCAGGCAGTGGGCGAGATCCTGTCCTTACCCACTGCCTCTCTCCCCCATTCGCTTTTCCTCCCTCTGTACTTCACTCACTCATTCATTCACTTACTCACTCATTTTCTTGCTCATTCATTCACTCACTCACTTATTCATTTACTCACTCACTTATTCATTTACTGACTCATTCATTCACTGACTCATTTATTCATTCACTTGCTCACTCATTCACTTCTCCATTTTCTCATTCACTTCTTCGTTTTCTCATTCATTCACTCATTTATTCACTCACTCTATCTACTCCCTCATTCATGTACCAATTCACTCACTCATTCACTCCTTTGCTCACTCATTCCTTCACTTGTTCATTCATTCACTTGTTAATTCACTAACTCCCTCATTCATTCACACCTCATTCATTCACTTACTCATTCATTTATTCATTTACTCACTTATTCACTCATTCACTCATTTGCTCCCTCACTTATTCACTTGCTAATTCACTCACTCATTCACTCCTTTGCTCACTCATTTCTTCACTTGTTTATTCATTCACTTGTTCATTCAATCACTCCCTCATTCATTCACACCTCATTTAGTCACTGGCTCATTCATTCACTCACTCATTCATTCACTCATTCACTCGTTTGCTCCCTCGTTTATTCATTTGCTTATTTGTTCACTCATTCATTCATTCCTTCATTTGTCTCCTTGCTCATTCACCCATCCAATCACTCATTTATTCACTTACTCACTCGTTCCTTTGTTCATTCATTCATGCTTTCACTCACCTATTCACTCATTCGTTTCCTCATTTGCCCCCTTGTTCGTTCATTCACTTCCTTGCTGATTCCTCCATTCACTCACTCACTAATTCACCCACCCATTGACCCCTTTACTCACTCATTCCCTTATTCATTTAACCGTTCATTCACTTATTCATTTATATGTTTTATAGAGATGAAGTTTTGCTATGTTACCCAGGCTCTGTTCGAACTCCTGGACTCAAGAGACCCTCTTGCCTCCGTTTCAGTTACTGGTTTAATCGCTCCTTCATTCACCGGTTCATTCATTCACTTATTGTTCATTCACTCACTCCCTTGCTCACTCATGCATTCCTTCACCTGCCCACTTGCTCACACATTCACTCATTCATTCACTAAACACATACCACTTGCCTGCCCCATAGCCAGACTAGACGTGCATTCGATCTGGCTCCATCCGAACTGTGGTGGTCAACAGGCAGGCAGATGGGATGCTATTGAGGATGGGGGACCCTCTGCAGGCATTGACCACCCCCTTACTCCCACCCAGACACAGACGAGTGCTCTGTCGGCCACCCCTGTGGGCAGGGCACATGCACCAACGTCATCGGAGGCTTCGAATGTGCCTGTGCTGACGGCTTTGAGCCTGGCCCCATGATGACCTGTGAGGGTACGACTCTGCTTGCCCAGGACCTGGGCCGTGTGACGGAGATGCCTGGGGGAGGGAGTGGAGGTCCTACCCACAGCCCCCCCACAGCTGGCACCTCCACTGGCCTCCCCAGACATCGACGAATGCTCCCTGAACCCGCTGCTCTGTGCCTTCCGCTGCCACAATACTGAGGGCTCCTACCTGTGCACCTGCCCAGCCGGCTACACCCTGCGGGAGGATGGGGCCATGTGTCGAGGTAGGCCTGACCAACATGGTGAAACCCTGTCTCTACTGAAAATACAAAATCAGCTGGGTGTGGTGGCGCACGCTTGTAATCCCAGCTACTTGGAAGGCTGAGAGACAGGAGAATCATTTGAACCTGGGAGTCGGAGGTTGCAGTGAGCTGAGATCATGCCACTGCACTCCAGCCTGGATGACAAGAACAAAACTCCGTCTCAAAAAAAAAAAAAAAGAAGAATCCTGCAATGCACACAGAACAGCTACCCACCACACAGAACTTTCCTATCCCAAATTTCATAGTGTCAAGGGTGGGAGACCCTGGTCTGGGACTCAGTGTCTCTGGGGCTGTTTCAGGGTCAGTGTTCCAGGGGCCAGGAGCAGACTCACAGACCCTGACGTGGGCAGGGGATGCAAGCTTTGTGGGACAATTCCTGATTTCCTTAGCTTCTTGGAAGCTGGGGCTGGGCAGGAACTGGGGGCTCCCTTCCTAGGAGGGATGGACACCTGACAGGGCCTGCAGGGAATTTACTCAGGTCCCACCAGGGCTGACATAGGGTGGAATCCAGGTCCCCACAGCCATGGGGTGCCTGGCCTTGGCTGATCATCTGTCCCTGGTCATCCGAAGATGTGGACGAGTGTGCAGATGGTCAGCAGGACTGCCACGCCCGGGGCATGGAGTGCAAGAACCTCATCGGTACCTTCGTATGCGTCTGTCCCCCAGGCATGCGGCCCCTGCCTGGCTCCGGGGAGGGCTGCACAGGTATGGGGGTACTGGAACTTCAGGGGTGCAGGGAACCCCTTGTGGAAGCAAGAGGGTCAGACCAGGCACAGTGGCTCATAACTGTCATCCCAGCACTTTGGGAGGCTGAGGCGGGAGGATCGCTTGAGCCCAGGAATTTGAGGTTGCAATGAGTTAGGACAGTGCCACTGCACTCCAGCCTGGGCAACAGAGCGAGACCCCATCTCCAAAAACAATAAAAGTAAAAATAAGGCCTGGCACGGTGGCTCACGCCTGTAATCCTAGCACTTTGGGAAACCAAGGCGGGCAGATCACCTGAGATCAGGAGTTTAAGACCAG